TAATAAGACTCACAGGGATAAACTACAATTATTTTATATTTCAATTTATTTTAATGTTTTGATAAAAAAGTTAAAATATATAATTTATTTATTTGATTATTTTCTAAAATATCACTATAGCTATTTTGTAGTTAATTTTTTTGAAAATATTGACGTTTCAAAATTTTACTTTCATTAAATTCCTGATTTCAATTTATTTTTAGTTTCGAAAAAAATTGTGAATTATTTAACAAAGTTATCAAAAATGTGAAATGCCGTGCCGTGCATGTACTTGTACGGCCGGCCGAACGACTTCCGTGTGCCTAGTTATAATCATATTTTATTGCTTCAAAATTAATGAAAATAAAATTTTAAAACGTCAATATTTAAAAAAAAAATAAACRTCAAAATAGCCATCATTTTTAATTTTGATTAGCAATAATTAAATAAAAAACTATATTYTTAAATTTTTAACAAAACATTAAAATAAATTTAAAAATGAAATAATTGTAGTTTTTATCCCTGTGAGTTTTATTACAAAACCAGAATTTTGATATCTCCATTATTTCGAGAGATATCACAATACAAATAAAATATGTTTATTTTAAGTAAATGAAAAATTTTAATTCATAATAAATTAAGATATGAGAGACGAGTCTGACGTTTAGGCTTATGCCTATAGCCTGACTAACCAATTGACAATGCACCATAAAAATAATAAAAACTTAGTAAAATATTTTATCTTATATTCGTATGATAATTATAAATTATTATTAAACTCGTAAGCACATTAGAAAATAATATTAATAATTACACAATTTCTAATATTTTTCTGGCTGTAAATAAAATGAAAAAATGTATYCCACATTCCAAATGTATTAAAATAATTATGCACAGCAAATATAATTTTTCGTGTTTTAAAATTAGTGTAACTTTCCTGCTTTATTATGGGACACCTATTTTTTAGAGAGAAAAMTTCATTTTTTGGGTGAAAAAAATGTTAGTGAAATCAGACTTTGGCACAAAAAGTTAGTTTTGAAGTTATAGCTAATCAAAGTTTTATTTATAATAACCCTTACATACCTATAATACATAATAATATTCTCATATTGAACCGTTGTGCAGTGGTAGCATCTTGTTATTAGTATTTAAGTATACAGCATTYGATACCCTTCTTGTTAGTACTGTAGTGTAGTTATTATTTTTTCTAAAATATGTGTTTATAGTTTTTTGTAATTAACTTGGTTAAACTTAGGATTTGAAAAATATTGTTTAAATAGTACAATTTACTGATACCATAATCACACTCCCTTGCTTGGAAATTAAAATTGAAAATATCTCTCCATTTGTTGTGTAAATCCACCTCAAGTGGACCTCGGAGATATATAAAATCCGGGTTCAAGAACTCAGACCACTTTCTATGGCAATGTAACTGTACTACCACTGAGCCTTTACGACCCGCCTCACTGTTATAATTATTTAACATATTATATTCTAACTTTGAAGTGTCATAACTTCAAAACTATGTCCGAGYTCCAAATGTTGACTCACCATTGTTTTCAGCATACTTAACTACACGAGTTTCAGAAAAAACAAAGGTGTCCCATTAAATAGAAGTATATCAAATTTCTTATAGTTTAAAAATATCTTAGGCATTTTTTGGATTTTTATTAAACAAAAATATGCATTGCAATAAATCACGAGCTTCAATTATAACTATATCAAGTATATTGTGGCGTGATATTTATTGATTTTAAAAAGTCCTGGGAACATTTTGGCAACGATATCCATTAATTAAAAAACTGAAATTAAGTGCTTTAAACCTATAATTTTTTTTTTTTTTTAATGTTTTATTCAATCTGTTACAAAAATATAAACAATAAAAACAATAGAGGAAGTAAATAGATAATTAAAAAAAAAAAAACGTGAAAAAAATAACATTGGTAGTTCGACGATTTGGCGACACTTCCGCGTTCTGCAACAGTATATGAAATCGTTGATCGGTATCCAGGTGCTCCAGTATACTATTATATTATGTACCTACACGCCGACTCCCTTCTTTTTACAATTTACACTCTAANAAAAAAAAAATGATAGATTAAGTGGAGTGTAGAGTAGGGTTGCCAGATTTTAAAAACACCAAACCGGGGCATCATATACGGGAATTAATAATATCCCTTATTTTAATTGAAAAAATGTATTAACCAATACAATTTTTTACATAAACTACATTTACTGCATTTACATTTATTAATTGTTAGTAATAACCTAATATTCATACTTTTCGGTTGAATGAATTGTTTTCAATACAGCTGTATTACTTTTAATTTTTAAAYAAAATTCATTACAAGTTCAAGATGGGTTTGCATAAAAGAAGCAGCTATTTCTGGGTCAAAGTGGCATGCAAGCAGTAAATTGTCGTCCCCAAAGTCTGCTACTATTGTGTTTTGAGTAATGGGTTAGTCTATGGTGTGAACGTTAAAAATAAGTGGTGCAAAAGCTGCTTCTTGCAATACACCGRCTTCTATTTTAGAAATATTTAAAAAAATTGAGCGTACAGAAAAGTGGTGATCACTAAGATTTAATAAGTAGGTACAGGTATGAGRGGGGATTTCTTTATTGTTGTGGAGAAACCCATTGTGCCATACTCAATCAAATGCCTATTCAATGTACAAGAACACTCCTGTGCATATAGTCTTTTGTACGAGAGAAAAGAAGATCTTAAAACCTATARTTATTTCATTAATTTTATCATAAAAACATTGTTTGATTAGTGCTTATACTAATAGTTTTTTTTATTAAATATAGTTTCATAGTTAATACAATAAATTGTTAGTTTGTTTACAAATTAATTAATTGAAAGATAAACAAACTAATATTATTAATTATTTTTAGACTTGTAGCTAACACTAAAGAGTTTATGAAGACTAATTATGATGAATTAATGTTATTAATCAAGAATGATGATTTATTTGCTAAAGAAGACATGGTATAATTTTTTTTTTTCAATTATGTTATTGAATAGTTGTGAATCTATATTATTTTAAAGGTATATGATGTTGTTATGAATTGGATAAAATATGATCCAGTAACTAGATCTAAATATTCTTCTGAATTATTATGGTATGTTCGGTTGCCACTTGTTCTTAATACTTACCAAGGTGTCATAAAGGTTCATGAGTATCCAGGTGCTAAAATTAATGAACTAAGTTCTTTTCGAATGGAGCATAGAAGACCATTTAGAAAAGTTAGTAGTGCCTTATTAATCAATTTATTGTTTATATTCTAAAAGTTTTGAAAAATTTCAATTAAAATTTTTAGATTTTACTGTGCATTCATTGGCTCTTATTCTTACAGGGCATATTAGTGTTAAGTCATTATCCATATGAATCAACTCCAGAATGGTATGATGCTGCGTTAGATCAATGGCAGAATTGCATGTGTGAAAATTGTCAGTGCAAAACCTTTCAATATCGCTTACTACCACCTAGAACATTATGCACAGTTATTTTACTCGACGATAGTCGCTTATTTGCGGCTGGAGGTTCACGATATGGCATTGGAATGAAATCGGCATATCTATTTGATCTAAAAACAAACAAATGGGTATCCTTGATGGATATGCATTTTGAACGTCTTAAACCATTTATAGTGCAACTTGGATCTTATGTTTATGTGGTAATAATCTTTTTTATATATACTTTATAATATCTATTTGTCAGTTCAACTATAATAATTTGATAAATGTTTTAATTTATAAAAAAATTGTAACTGAAAAAAAAAAATATAACAATGAAATATTATGCATGTATAATTTGTTAATAGATTGGTGGTTGCACTAGTGATAGACCTGATGCCTGTGCTATAGAATGTTATGATTTAAAGAGAAAAGAATGGTCTATCATAAATTGTGAAATCAACCTAGTTGAGACATTTAAAAATAATAATTATGTTGCCTGCGTTAAAGGATTAATTTACATAGTAAGTTGATTTTTTTTTTTCTAAAAATGTATAAAATATACAAAATGTACAGTAAACATATCTTATTTATAAAAGTGCTGGGTAAAATAGTTGTATGCATAGAATACAATTGATTAAAATGTTGAAATGTGGTTAAAATTAAAGTTCATAAACCATGATAAAAAGTTGGTTATATAGAAAAACACACTAGTATAATTGTTTCCTTGGCTTACACTTTGGTTTAATATTTAATTTAAACCTCTTTCAATATTCATTTGTTGTGATTACATTGTTGATTTCATTTTTTATGTATATATGTACTGAGTATGTTTTCTGGTTAGAAATTTAATACTTAAGAGAGGTCAAAATGGAAAATTAGGATTTTTTGACAAAATCAATAAAGTTTTATTGGTTTAATAAAACAACTGAAATGCAAAGATATTTTATATTTTCACTTGATGTTTATATCACCATTTTCTATACCATTTTTGAGCTATCATAGACATTAGAAAACATGTATTTTATTAGTTTTTTTATTTAATAATTCTAGTAAAATGTTTGCTCTGTCAAAATACTTCGAAATTAAGTATAAAGTTCCTAATAAGTTGTTAATTTTAATTTAAAAAAAGTTCAGTATAAATTAGCAGTAAAAGTTTAATGGAAAATCTAATTAATTTTTTCTGAGAGTTAGAAGTTAAATTTGTTCTGATATTGAATTTTTTACAGTAAATTCACAWTAAACAATTCTCTTATTTTGTTGTTATTCAAAAACCAATAACGAAAGATATTTGAAATTCTCACCAAATGTTTTATATGTAAGAATTAAAAATTTCAAACAAGGAACAAGGTAGGAAATAAGTAGTTTATACTGTCACTTAAAAGTCATATTTATTATTTTTGTTATTTTAATATTAAATTGTGATAAAAATTGATATTAGTATAAAGAATCTYTAAAAAAAATTAAAAATATAATATATATTATTGACTGATAGACCAGCTACATTTAGAATTATTGTTTTTTGTATACAATGAATTATCTTATTGAATCAAATTTAGCACCATCCATTACACTATTATAGTGCCCCAATTTTAACCTACYTTACAGCAGAGATTTGTAATAAATACCTTTTTCAACCAAGGAATTACAATTCAAAAAGTATAGAATACTGTTTTAACTATAAATTATATTCCATGTATGTATGTTAAAGAAAACAGTTTTTCTATTATGCTTTATCAATGTTTTTAGTATTTTAGTTTTGATTTCTGGCTAATTTATTGATTCATAATAATAAAGAATATTTTACTTTTAATTTAGATTGGAATGAATGAAGCTGGATATTATGACGCTCGTACTCACAAGTGGAAATATATTGATCCAATACCTGAGTTTAATAAAGGTTCAGCAGTTTGCACATTAAATGGTAATATTTATATTATTGGTGGTCAGCGCATGGAAAATTGTTACAAAAGTGTATGGGCATACTGTACACTAACTGAAGAATGGGTATCCTTATCTGAACTAAATTACGCTCGATCGTTTTCTGGTAAAATTTAAAAACTTGATAATTAAAAATGTTTGATACCTTAACTACTATGATTAATTTATAGGTGCTGTTGCAATGAATGGTAATATTTATTTATTTGGAGGAAAAATGATTAATACATCTTATTCAAATACATTTGAAATATATGATCCTCACGATAATAAATGGGTTACTTCAAATGCTTATATGAAAAATGATCAATGTCATATTGATGCGATTGTTATTGAAAAGAATTCTGAATTGTTTAAAAAAGTATTTGAAGAAGGGAATAATGCTATTATTCATTAAAAAGTGACTGTGAGTTTAAACTCAATTTATATTAATAAATTAATATAATTATTTATATTTATTCAAAATTATTTAGTAATAATAATTAGTGAGGAGTGTACCTATTGATCATTCATAGGTATTAATAATAATTGTTTATTGGCTATTATTTAACAAAAAAAAAAAATGAATGATTCCTTTATATTAAAATATTATCTTAAATATTATCTTAAATATTGTTTATAGGTTGATTAATTATTTTATATTTAAAATGTTTTAACCATTGCTTTATTGAATATAAAACAACATTTTAATATAAGTCTTTACTGTATAAAATTTAAACTATCTTAAGAATTTTTTACTTTATGTAATTGTTTGAACATTCTTTTTGGAAGTTTGTGAAATAGTCACTAATTTTCTTAATGCAAATGTTATATGAATCGCTTATTTCATATGTTACAATTATTATGTACTTTAAAAACTATCATAGTTACTATGTAATCTACATCCAGTGTAAATTTATGATCAGCAAATTAGATTTCAACAATTGAGATATTAAATGCTTGGATTATAATAATTGTCTACTGCATAAACTACACACGTATAATTATTTTAAACACTAAAAAAAGAAATTCAAAATTAACGGTTTTTAAAATAATTATTCCATTATTGTTATATTTTTGGTAATTATTGCTGATGTAATAGTTTTTATTAAGTTATATTTTGCTTAAGGTATTTTTAATTTAGTTTCCTATAGTATTAGTCTGTATATAATTAAGTTGTCTATACATTTTTTTTAAATAAAATTTTTATTAGATTTTGTGTTTCCAATAAAATTACTTAGATTTATGTATTGAAGAATACTGAATAAGCGATTCATATTTGTGCACTGTACACAGAAGTAATTACTCTAGGGTTGTTGMTGCATTATGAGTCTGGCACAAATTTTCAATTTTGATTGTTTTTTTTTTCATTCCAAATTTTTCTAAACAGACTTTTTAGTATTCAATTAATAATTCATTGGTATGTTGCAAATTACAAATTATGAATATCAGAATATAAAATCATTTATAAATAATGATTCCATTGGTGTTGCCTTAAATTCTTTTTTTTTTTATCAAAGTATAAAACAATAATTTTCTATTAAATTTCGAGAAATTTGCATTTTTAATGAATAGGTGTACAAGTGTTTATTTATTTTATAATTTTAAGTTTACCATTGAATTATACTTAATACATTTTATAGTTTAGATATTATTGTCATCCTAAATTGTATCTGTACAAGTTTATCTCATAATTTCATAAGTATTTTATTATATTAAAGTTAAATATTTTATTTATGATAATTCAAATGCATTTGCATTTTATATTTTTATTGTGTTCATGATGTAATACATTTCAAATTTTTCTAAACTGAATTAGTTTTAATTGACATTCAATTAATAGTACCTTTGTAATTTTTTTTTTTATTGTTTGTATACTTATAAGTGCATATATTCTTGTGTCATTTTGGTATTTTCAATTGCTGTTATTAATGTATTTGTTTGAAATTAAATTATAAATTTTTTGTTTTAACCAATATTTGATTCAATGGTGGTTTTTAGTAGGTGGAATGGATCACCTCCTCCTTAGGCTGTAAAATTGTGTAAATAAATAGTAAATCTAATAAATATTCATTGTGGTAATCTAACCATAAAACAATAATTATAAATAAAAGTTATATCATGTTGGTATAAAGATAAATTTCTATGGACAATGACTGATATACTTGGCCAATGTTTGTTAATATTATTAGTTTTTAGTGGCCTTCTAAATAGTTTATTGGTGATTGTGATAAAAGTCAAAAGTATAATTAATGAATGTACAGTAAAACCTAATTAATCCAGACTAATTGGGACTCAAGGTAGTCTAGATTAAACCGAATCAAGTATAAAATATGCCAAGGTATGTACTTAAATACTTTATTGTTCTGTAAAATCATGTTCCATTCATATAAAAAATACAAAGGTTATTCGATTATTTTTCTGATAATACTAGTATTATATATTTTAAAAACAGCTTTCCAGACTAATGGTGTTTGGATAAATGAGGTTATCTGTACTTTACAAATATAACAGTCATCAAAACACAAATTCCTGGTCAGTTTTAAACATTGGTTTATGTCTAAAGTACACCATACATGGGATATCAGATTAATAATACTCGTAAAATTCCTTCTCATGTATCTAAAAATGAAAGTGAGCTATTTATGTATTTGCAAAATATTTTCAGTGTCCCATTGAGATTTAATAAGAATCATTTCTGACTTGAGTAAGATACACTGATAATATTGATCTGTATAATGTTTAAATACTTGTACATTTTATATGATGGTGACRTGTTAGTTTTATGCATTGAACCTAACTACTAGACTTGTTTACCTATAGTTGTCATTAGTTAAATTATAAATTACAATGAAACAAATGTTGATTACAATATAATTAATTGATATCA